CAAAGGCCTGCAGCACGCAAATATACATAACACAGCTAGGAAACATGCTAAAGAGGAAAGAAATAAGAAAAACAATACCAACAAGCCAATTCAACTTCAATGGAGAGCTGAATTGGGATACTGTAATTAATGACTGGAGATGAGCCAGGAGACAGGGCACAGAACACGATCACAGAGACACACGTGGCATGGCCTGCTCTTGGCTAGGCTGGTTTAGGCCTAAATAGGTCGGCACTGGGGGCAGATTCTCAGGAAATTCCCAGTCCCAGGCACTGGACTGACAGACTCAGTAACCTATCAGCCAAGTGCCTGCCCCTGCCTCCAGGGATCTGGGCATGGCCATTACCTGGGAGGCAGCTGATCAGCAGGGGGTTTTCTTCCTCCAGCATAAAGACAAGATGCCAGACCCTACAATCCACCATGTGGCCAATATGGCACCTGCCAGACCTGGCCTCCTTACTTCATTCTCTCTCTCTTAATGAAAGTGAGCATTCAGACCTAGAGCCTGGCCTATGGCCAGGGGCTTCAGTAACACTACTAGGACTTAAGTGTGTTCCCCAAAGTGATAGGTCAGAAGCACACAGCAGCAAAAGAGGATGTATAAGAGTTGATTAGATAATCAGAGCTCTGTTCTCATAAATGGATTTATGCCATTATCTTTAAGGAGTAAGTTATTTTGAAAGTGTGTTTTGGATAAAAGGATGAGCATAGCTCCCTACCTTTCTTGCTCTCCTGCCTCTCTCACCCTTCTGCCTTTCACCATTTGTTGGGAGCCAAGAAAGTGTGTGGAAAGATAATATTCCTCCAGCCCTAAACAAACTACATTTGGCTAACCATAAATATTCCTCCAGCCCTAAGCAGGCAACATTTGACTAACCATAAACATTTCTCTTATCTCCAGCCCTAAGCAAGGGGCGCCTGGCTAACCATAAATGTCTCCTAGAGAAACTACAGGAGGTACCTTTAAGATTAGCACAACGGCCAAAGGATAAGCACGACCCATCCCTGACCCCAGGACTTCTCACCCTTGCTTCTGCAAAGTTTTTTCATTCTCTCCCTTCCCCTGTCCTTTTGGGTATATAAACCCTGCCTCCACCTTAATAAAGCAGACCTTGACGTGACTCAGACTGACTTTGTCTTTCTTTATGCGCTTGGTCTCGTTTCTCTCTCGCCCCCATTGGTTTTTAGGAGGTGCCTCCTCGAGCCTAATGAATAACTGAACCTGCTGGACGGGACAACCATTGGATAATTCAGCAAAAGGCTTTTACCAGGTACAGCCCTTGATTTTGGACTTTCCAAAAAAGAAATCCCTGCTCCTTATGCACTCAGAGAAGTTCAACAGCACAAAGTGTACCAAGCACTTCCCAAAGACCTAACCACATTTCAGAGGCTTGGCTCCCAAAGCTATCACTTTGGAGTTCAGAATATTAACATGTGAATTAGTAGGGGAAGGACACAATTATTCAGCCTACACTTAAAAAGATCTGCGCTTCACATTCAAAGACTACATTCAAGTGTACTGAAAGGTATGACTTCTATACATCTTTTGGAGGACACAGTACAATCTACTACAGAGTCAATGAAAGGATAAATGTCTTTATGTTCTGACTTATACTGCAGCCCTAGCAAGGTCTGCTTGTGCTTCCAAAGGATAATAATATCCATCTGGCAAAACAGAACTAAGACTGAGTTCATTATGTGGCAGGAAACTCAAAGACTTTTGTGTCAGATGAACTCTGACAATCCTAGTTCTGCACTGGATGAAAACCTAGGTTAAAAGTCATTTAACCTTTGTGAGCCTTGATTAGTAAAATGTAGATCTATCTCATAAGACTTCTGGAAGAATTGTCAGGCACACAGTGACCTCCAAGTATTATTATTTCAGAGACAAAATCTAGAAGATAAAACAATTGAGAATGATTCACACTGAAGTTGTGGTTGTGTGAATGAACTAGATCTCTCTCTCTTTTTTTTTTTTTTTGGCCAGTCCTGGGACTTGAACTCAGAACCTGGGCACGGTCCCTGAGCTTCTTTTGCTCAAGGCTAGCATTCTACCACTTGAGTCACAGCACTACTTCCAGCTTTTTTTTCTGTTTATGTAGTGCTGAGGAATCGAACTCAAGGCTTCGTGCATGCTAGGAAACCACTCTACCACTAAGCCACATTCCCAGCCCTGGGTCTCTTCTAAAAAGGCAGAAATTGGCATCAATGAGAATGGGATGTCCTGTCAGCAATGGAAATTAGCACTAGGAGTCTAAGGAAAAGTGGTTTGCATATAGACAAAGGGGCATTTGGCTTCAGAAAGTCAGGTATTGTAGTATCTAAATGGAGAGAGGTTGGTAAAATCAATCAGGGATGCTAGATAGTCAAAAGTGCCATTACTGTGCCAGACACTCAGGATAAAGGGGGTGAGGGTTGAGACGAAGGGGTGAGGGCTGAGACAAAGGCCTTTAATAGATGTCCTGAAGGATAGGAGCAGAATAAAGGCCAGAGCACCTAAAATACCCCATGAAAGCCTCAAAGTTTTGAAGAGAATATGATATTGGGATAGATTCTTCAGGATGAGCAAAAGTTTGTCTAGCAGAGAAAAAGAGAGACTCCAAGCTTAGGGAAAAGAAGTAAAACACAGAAATTAAAAACTACCTTACCAGATTTGGAAACAAATTCAGGATCAGTCAAAAGCCCAGTTAATCTAATAACTGTGATCAGTGCTACATTGCTAACACAAAGGCATGCCATCTCCTCCTGAAGCCTTGAAGTATAATTTATAGTCAACCTGATTAAAATATAAGTTTGTCCTACCAACCAAGGTTGGAACAAGCCTTAAGGTGGGTGTCAGGTGATTCCAGTATTTAGCAAAGGACCTATGTGGAGATTGATGATCAGTCAAGTACTTACCCAAGGAGAACAGTCTGCACCTATTCTGGGTGACTTTATATCATACAGAACAGCAGCCTTAAGCTGAGTTTATAAAACAATCTTCATATAAAGTACTCCATTTTGAATATAAGTGCAAAACCAGAATGACTGCACATCTCTTTATAAAGTAACTTGTCATCTGCCAGAACACCATAATGTACAAACTGATCATTTATGTCAACAAATAATTCTCTATGTATCAAATCACATCAAAACTACTAGATACATGAACTTACCAATTATACTAGATATTACACACTCACTTGGGACTAGGAAAGGAGGAGCACTGACTGACCTATCATCTGGTCACCTGCCACAACCCAATAAAACTGCTGAAGTGAGAGTGCCCATGAACACACAGCCCCCTTCAAATCAACATTAGAAATGGCTGCTGCTTGGACCTGCATTTGACAACTGTGCTTTGAGGGGTAAACCTGCAGTTCCTAAAACTTACCTGGTCCCCTCCAGAGATATTTCCTTGTGTTGGTATCAGTTCTTATCTCTGAGTTCAGTACAGCCCCTCGGAGCACTATAGCTTCTTTAACCCTTCCACAGACATTCGGTGACTTGTACACTGTTATTGTGTGAAATGTTGAATATATAATCTGAGGACCAATATTAGGAAAGAATTGACAAAAGAAACCTGCCAATGATTCATGGCTATCAAGTGAACTCAGTGGTATTTTGCAAATAAAGCCAATGAAATTGATGTAGCATGTGGCTTTGTTAATATTCAATATATTCTGACATTGTTAAAGGATACAAGCACCTCAGTCTGTGTTTCTGCTGTAGCTCACAACATGACTTTTGCCAAAATCAGGGGAAGAGAATGAAAACAAGACTAGAAGGCATTTTACAGACTGTGACAGACTAAGTTAAACTTCACAGCAGAGCAATGAAATAAGCCTTTTGGTTTTCCAAAAGTAAAATTTACCTTGTTCCAGAAGAAAGGAAGTTTCCTGCTGAGTTAGAGAGCCCTGGGGCCTGATGGTGCTTTCTAGAAGTCATTCACTGCATGAACACCTTTTGAATCCTGGTTGAATCTCACTTCACTATATTTCCTTTCAGCTGAAAATATATATTGGATCATATTCACAAGGAACAACCAAATTGTACTCAAGTTACTAGCACCAATGGTGGCTTCTTTGTGTGCAGTAAATGTCTGTGAAGTTAAGCTCCATTAACACTTTCCCACGCTGTACTGACAATATAGTACAGGAAACCACCTCCGCCACCAGCAGACTTCAGAAGCCCTCCAAAGTTAAGCAACGGTCCCGCATGCTGAGAGTGTTTTCAAGATGTTAGCTAATTCCTAACTGTTGACTTCTGTTAACGCTCTCCTCACCCCCATCCTCCCTCGGAGGCCTCTCCACAACACAGCTAAGGAGGTCGGGGCCTAGGAAGCTCTGAGAACTTCCCAGCTCAGGATGTTCCCAACCCTGGGGGCCAGGCCACAGAGGAGAGGTACGCTCTGTATTTTCAAGGGACTCTGGGAGCGGCCCGCGGGCTCGTGGCTTCCCCAGCCCCTGATGGTTCACCCACCTGGAGACGACGACCAGAAGTGGCCAGAAACTCCTTCGGGCAGAGGGATGGAGGTTGTGGGCAAGGATGGGGCCGTCATGCAAAGAGAGAGCGGGGATAAAGCGGGTGAGGATGGTGCGGAGTTGTGGGACTGGGCGGGGCCTTGTGTGGGAGGAGCCTGCGTGACCACGAGGGGCGGGGCCTGAGGGAAGAGGCGGGGCAATGCGGGCATGGGTGGGGCAGAGGTGTGATCAGGGGCGGGGCAAGCAGAGGCCTGGGCAAGGCAAGTGGTTGGGTGAGGGTTGAGTGGGTGGGGGCGGAGGTGTGAGAAAGAGGTGGGGCTTGGCTGAGACTGGGGGCGGATGGAGGTGTGAGATGGGTGGGAGGGGCTGAAGCGGGGCGGGGGGGGGGGGGGAAGGAGTGAGAGCGGGAAAGAAATGAGGAGCAGGCGCACTTGCAAATCAGGGGCGGGGCCAGGCCCGGAAGGCGTGGCGTGCCTTACAGTGGGGCGGGATCACCTCAGCGGCGGCGGCGGCGGCGGCGGCGGCAGACGCGGGAAGATGGCGGCAGCGGCGGCGGCTGCGGCGGCGGCCGAGCAGGTCTGTGAGTCCCGCCGTGGACAAGGACTGGGGAGCATGGGAGAGGCCAGGTCTTGCCCGTGGGACCAACTGACCGTAGGCTTTCGTAGACCGGGACGCCAAGGCCGGCGGGGGGCCGGGTTCCGCAGGGCAGAACGGCAGGAGCTATCCGCAGCCGGGATGCTGCCCAAGGCCGGGAGAGCTGCCGGGCGGCCCGGGAGAGCGAGCCAGCCGCGGGCCTCGGCGGGGCCGAGCGGGGGGTCGCCGTCCCTGCGGCCCAGGCAGCGGGGTCAGGCCGGACGTGCCGGGCCGCGCCCAGCCCCGCGCTCCGCGGAGAGGCGGATAAAAATAACCGGGGCCCCCGCCCGAGGCTCGGCCGACACCGCGGGAGCCGTCAGCTGCTGCTGGGTGTGGCGCTGGGGGCCCCCCGCCCGCGGCCCGCCCAGACCGCCGCTCCCTCGCCACTCCTCGGAGATCTAGTTACCCGAGTCAAACTCTTGTCCAGTGCATGTTGAGCCCGTGCTTTAAATACGTTGTCGGTTTGTAACGCACAGCCGTTTTAGAGATTGTTTCCAGAAAAAAAAAATGCATCAAGGTATATTTATGCATGCTTATCCATGCCAGTGTGCACGCAGGTGCATGCACTGTTGGGCGCGATTTATGATGATGAAAGTAAGTTTCATAATCACTTCCCAAGTGATTTTTTTTTTAAATAAGGAGTAGGGTCGTTTCTCTGGATAAAGCCTCATTCGTCATGGTTTGAAAAGCAGACACGCGCCGAGTCGTCAATATTCTGTTTGACCTTGGGAAAGATTTTTCTAAGTGATTGACATTTCAGAGGCCATTTATTCAATAGTGATTTCCTGCTTCGTAAAAGATCTTGTCTTTCGTATTGTACTGGTCTTCTCTGAAATCTTTTATCTTTACCCTGTGTTAGTCAACTTTCGGTTGCTATAACCAATACCTGAGATAATCAACTTACAGGAGGAAAACTGTTTGTTTGTTTTGGCTTACACAGTTTCAGAGTTCCCAGTCCATCAGCAATTTCTCCAATGGTTTTAGGCCTGGTGGGAATGTGTGACAGAACAAAATTGCTCAGTTATGGCTAGAGAAAGAGAGAAATAGGAGCAGGAGGACCCACTATCCCCTCCAAGAGTCTACCTTCAGTTACTGAGAGACATCCCACTAGGCCCCATCTCCCAGTTATAGTTGTGTGCTGAGCAGCAAACCTGTACCACTTGATCCTTTGGGGGACACTTAAGAAATCTAAACTACAGCAATTCACCTTGGCTTTTTCTACCCTCTGCTATTATACATGCAAATCTTTTCCAAGTTAGAGGAGGGGTGATTTAAATCACAGCCTTTCTCTGACAGTTAATTCTGCATCTTTAATTGTCTCTTTCCTTTTGCATCCTTTTGGACATGAGCATAGAGGTACACATACTAGTATCAGAGCTGTCTGTTCCCTTCTTACCAATTTATCAAAAAATCATCTTTGACAATCACGAAGGTACTTTTGTTTTTGCGTATGCTTGTACCAGGACTTGACCTCAGAGGATGGCCACTGTCCCTTAGCTTTTTGCTCAAGGGTGATGTTCTACCACTTGTATCACACATCTACTTCTGGCTTTTTGGTGGTTAATTGGAGAAAGAGGCTCACAGACTTTTCTGTCCCAAGCTGACTTTGAACTGTGCTCCTCAGATCTCAGCCGCCTGAGTAGCTAGGATTACAGGCCTGAGCCACTGGCTCTGGCAACAAACATGAAGTTACTTTTTAAAAATGGTACTGTAGGGCTGGGAAGGTGGCTCAGTGGTACTTGCCTTGCATGCCTGAGGCCCTGGGTTCAATTCCTCAGCACCACATAAGCAAAAAGAAAAAAGCCGGAAGTGGTTGTGGCTCAAGTGGTAGAGCGCTAGCCTTGAGCTGAAGAGCTGAGGGACAGCGCCCACGACCAGAGTTCAGGCCCACAACTGGCCCCAAAAAATAAATAAATAAAAATAAAATAAAAATGGTACTGTAATCTCTGTACAATATCTCATTATATCTCATTTTCCAGTTTTCTTGCACATTTAAGTTTCCTGAAACTAACTATATTCTTAGCTCTTCTCTTCCTTTTATCCTATTTTTCCCAGTGATGTGGTCTCATAGTTACAATATGCTCTAGGCTCAGGATTCCCAAATCTGTATGCTGGTTCAGAATGGCCATCAAACTGTGTCAACCATTCCAAATTCTTCCTATATAAATGAAAAAATACATTTAAGTAAAAATATATAATTAATAAAAACTATAGTATACATACTATAGTGTCAGTTGTGTCTAGAAATGAGCTGTACACATTACTGACAGTAGGTCTATTGAAAGCAAAGAAGAAATACATGTTATCAGTCACCCAAAGGGTCTGTGTGCCATCCCTCTACGCTCATTAATGTCCTTACTTGAAACCACAACTCAATGTAACCTTCAGGTTGTCAGTGGGACATTCACCAGTTCAGCTGCTTCATTATGAATTTGAGCCTCATGAATGCATTAAAAAGAGTGGCTTGTTGTTCCATTTTGCTTGATTTTTAGCAGAGTTCCAATGGGCCTGTAAAGAAATCCATGCGAGAGAAGGCTGTTGAGAGAAGAAATGTCAATAAAGAGCACAACAGTAACTTTAAAGCCGGATATATTCCAATTGATGAAGATCGGCTGCATAAAACCGGATTGAGGGGGAGAAAAGGCAACCTAGCCATCTGTGTGATTGTCCTCTTGTTTATCCTGGCTGTCATCAATCTAGTTGTGAGTATATGAGGCAAAATATTCTTTTTTTGACTACCATGAGGAATTTTCATCTTTTTTTTTAAGTGATAATTTGAACTTTGTTTCTATAACTTCTTTTGGGACTGTCTTATATTCTGCTTTTAATTTATACATGTGTATTTTCTATTGGATTTAGTTAATACTTTATATAATAAAAACTTCAAAGCTTCTGTCTCCAACACTGCAAAAATAAGTAAATAAAAGATACATTTTAAAATTTTAAACCTAGTAGACTAATATTATGAATTAATCTCACTTAGAAAAAATGTTGGTTGGTTCTTCCCTTTAAATGATGTGACTATTAGTAAAGATAAAGTTGTAATAGAGAAAAACTTTGTCATGATTTTATTACCTCTTCTAAAAATAATGTTTTCTGTTTTTATTCAGCATTTCCTACAGTCAGTATTTCCTTTTCAGATTTTAAACTTGTAAACTTTTTGATGGTAAATGTTTGTACTTTGTAGTCATAGTCCCTTTTTTTAAAAAGGGAAAAGTTTGTGCTTTGTAGTCATAAGTCCCATTTTTTAAAAAGGGAAAAGATATGGTAGGCTGTTGCATACAGAGGTTGTGGACTTGGCATGTCACCATTTCCAAAGATATACTCCTTTATTTGTGTCAGTACCAGGGCTTGAACTTGGGGCCTGGGCACTGACCCTTACTTCCAACTTTTTGCTGGTAATTGGAGATAGCGTCTCATGGATTTTCCTGCCCAGGCTGGCTTCAAACAGCAATCCTCAGATCTTAGCCTGCTGAGTCACTAGTATTATAGTAGATGCTTTTGAATCTGAGGTTGTGATCTCTAAAAGTTGATTTTGAAACCCTCTTCTCTATGTATAGATCAATATTTTCAGATTGGATTTCAATGTGGAGCAGCTTGAAAAGTGATTCCATTTATTTTATTTGTTCTAATGCTTTCTACCCAACCTTTCTATTTTATGTTTATCTAAAACTCATTTGTCTATGCTTTCACTAAAATAAGAACTGTTTCTATAGATTTCATAGTACTATAAACAGCCTTAACTAGGAGCATGTATTCTGAATTTATTTTATCAATGTGTTTTATAAGAGACTCCTGGGTATAAAATGTCAGAACAAAGACATTTCTATCCTTTTTTAAGGATTTTCTTAAAAAGGTTATCCTAATGTAACAATGTCAAGAAATACAAGTATCTTTGAAGACTAAACCATAATATTTGAAGACAAAAGAGGAGAGATCTGGCAAATAACTTCACAGAGAGGAGAGGCTGCTTGTATTTGTGTGTTGCGGAGGGGTTGTGGGCTGTGTTGATGAGTAGCCTTAGGAATTGGAAGTGCCTGGAAAGGCAAGAGTAGTCAGGAACTGAAACAGGACTTTGGAAATTCTGATAGTCCATGCTGCCCCACTTCCAGGCAGCACTTAGGAAGCTTCCCCTCCAAACCCTGTCCCAAATCGGTGAGAGTCAGAATACCCAAGAGCAGGTAGAGTTCTTTCTGCGTGGTATAAAGGACAACAGGATGGGTTTCCACTTTGAAAGTAGGTTAGTCTGAAGGCTGAGCACTGAAGCTCCATTTCCAGCTCGCCCTTGTCCTCATCCTCTACCTCCTGCTCCCCTGACAGCAGGCAGGAGATAGAGGAGCTCTCAGGAGGACTGAGGCACCTATAGAAAACAGGTGATGGTTGTCAGATTTAGCAGGTGCCCATGAAAAAGCCCACTGTTGTTCCCTATTGTAAAGAAGGCCGTTCAGAAGCCCCACCCACATACAGAGAATTGTCCATGCATTTTTATTACCTCACTGTTAAATATGAACACTCAGCAAGGCATTAATAGATTTTTTTTTGAGAAATGATAGAAACCAAAGTATCCAAATTTTCCCTTTAGAAAAAGGAAAGAATGACAGAAAATCTAAAATCAGCATCTTCAGAGAAACAGAGGATATTATGCCCATGAAACCAGAATAACATGCCATTTTAAAGAAGTGATTAAGGACATAAGGAAGACCTCATATAAATAGGCAAGAGAGGGAAGAAAGGAAAGGGGAAGGGAGAGAGGGAGGGAAATAATAGGCAGTGGGAGACATTGGAAGATAAATAGTAAGATCTTCCAGAAGGTTCAACAAAATTAGAGAATCTGAGAGCTTTCTGTTTATAGGAGATTCTGAAAGTGCAGGTGGAAGAAACATTGGAGAGAGTTATCAAATGAAATGAAGAAAATTTTCTAGATCAGATTGAAAACTATTATTTGAGATCCAACATAATACATTAAAATAGTCTCATATCCAGACCATTACTATGAAATCTAAGAAAACCCAGAATAGTGGTAAATTTCCAAGTCTTCTAGGTTGGAGAAATACAGTCTGCATATAAAGAATGGACAATCAAAATGTTATCAGACTCTCAGATGTAGCATTGAAAACCTAATGACCATAAAGTAGTGGCTTAATGTTCAAAAAATAATCATTCAAGACTTTAAATTTATACTTAGCCACACTGTCAGATGTCAGAGATTAAGGATATGTTCTTGCCATGCATATGCTCCAAAACATTTTATTCCTCATGCATTGTTTCAAAGGAGCCTTAGTTTTCTATCCAGAGAAAACAAAGAAAATTAAAAAGACAAAGATTTAGGCAACTGGTTATTTTACACAGGAGAAAGAAGGAAGTTCCAATGTGAAAGTGAAGGAAAATTCAGTTATACCTGTGCAGGAGCCTAATGGAGCTAAATGGCAGTGGAAAGATGGGGTCTCCAGAAAGATTAGCTGAAAGAGAAAAATAAAATGATTATATTGGGCCAGGAATGTGGCTTATTGGCAGAGTGCCTAGAATGAGTTCAACTTTTCAGTACTACATAAACAGGAAAACCCAAAGTAGAGCTGTGGCTGAAGTGGTAGAGTGTTAGCCTTGAGCAAAAGAAGCTCAGGGATAGTGCCCAAGCCCTGAGTTCAAGCCCAGGACTTGCAAAAAAAAAAAAGAAAAGAAAAAGGAATATATTATTTGAGAAGTTTAGACTTAAAGATCATTTTAGCTGAGTGCTGGTGGCTCATGCCTGCATTCCTAGCTACTCAGGAGGCTGAGATCTAAGGATCATGGTTCAAAGCCAGCCTGGGCAAGAAAGTCCATGAGACTCATCTCCAAATAATCACCTTGCTTAATACATCTTATCAGTAGAAAATCAATTGATGTTCATCTCACTGATAAAATACTTTTGAACACTTTTAATGTCTTGGCCCTTGTCTTTTCTATTTGCTTCCCAGGTGTGCCAAGTATACACTGCCTGTTAACAGTGAACTTGGATGCTCTTTTTCAGATAACTCTTGTCATCTGGGCTGTGATTCGCATTGGACCAAATGGCTGTGACAGCATGGAGTTCCATGAAAGTGGTCTTCTTCGATTTAAACAAGTATCTGACATGGGAGTTATTCATCCTCTTTATAAGAGTACAGTAGGAGGAAGGCGAAATGAAAACTTGGTCATCACTGGCAACAACCAGCCTGTAAGTCACCATATTATCTGAAGTATAATGTGAATAGAAGCAAAGCATTAGAAAACAATTTTTGGAAAAATCTGGACTTGAGTACTAGAACTAGATGTCTTCCTCTAGGAAAAAAATTATATACATATGTTCATCATTGTATTAGTTGTCATAAATATTCATCATTTGCTAACATTGCTGTTTTCATAATCTATTAAAAATAGATGCTTTCTAGATCACATTCAGTGGTATCCTTGACAGATGCAATTTGATGTCATTATACAGAAGTATTTAAAATAGATAGAATATTCTATTCTCTTACATCTGAGGAAAGCATTGCAAAAGCACCTTCCTAGGTTAGAAAACCCTGTTTTTAAATGAGACTCTAAATGATAACCAGCCACTGTACTCAGTGGCAAGCCAGGATAAGTAGCTGCTATCACATAGGAATTTTTTTTTTAATTTCATCCTGGGGCTTGAGCACTGTGCTCAAAGCTAGTGCTCTACCCCTTGATCAACAGCTCCACTTCTGGCTTTTTTTGGTGCTTAATTGGAGATAGTCTCACAGACTTTCCTTTCTGGACTGGCATCAAACTACAATCCTCGGATCTCAGCCTCCTGAGCAGCTAGAATTACAGATGTGAGCCATCAGTGCCCAGCTTCACGTAGGCTTTTAACTGAGTAAAATCTCAAGCAAGTGTTCTTACCTCCTTCCCTGGCCATCTTAGTTACTGACCTATGTTCTCCTATCAGTACTTTTGGGCTCTTCTATAAGCAAATAAGCATGTAAGCCTTCACTTTAAAGAACTGTTCTCTGAAGTGACTGGAGCTATAATTTAAAATACTTGAAGTTGTCTTATTGTAGTTTTTAAAAATAATGTTCATGAATCTGAGATGCCATATTCTTTGAAAATTCATAATAAAGTGTTTTTCTGAAGATTGTTTTTCAGCAAGGGACAACAAAGCTCAGTGTAGAAAAGAACAAAACTTCTATCACAAGTGACATTGGAATGCAGTTTTTCGACCCCAGGACTCAAAATATCTTGTTCAGCACAGACTATGAAACTCATGAGTTTCATTTGCCAAGCGGAGTGAAGAGTTTGAACGTTCAAAAAGCATCTACTGAAAGGGTATGATTTGTTTTCTTCTTTTTATGAATAAAAGAGAATTGTTGCCTAAAATTATAAAGTGGGAGGAGAGTTTTACCATTTTTACACTGGCATAAAAGAATGTGTTCTGGAAAGGGTTAGTACTAGACCTGTCATTACTAGTTTGTGTGAGAATTATCACTTATCTAGAACATGTCTTTTCAAAGCTTATTTCTCTATCTATGATAATAATTCACACATTAATTTAGAAATTTTTCTCAGTATTTCTTTTTTAATTTTTAGATTACCAGCAATGCTACCAGTGATTTAAATATAAAAGTTGATGGGCGTGCTATTGTGCGTGGAAATGAAGGAGTATTCATCATGGGAAAAACCATTGAATTTCACATGGGTGGAAACATGGAATTAAAAGCTGTGAGTAGGGGCTAGGAAGGTGGCTCAGTGGTAGAGTGCTTGCCTTGCATGCATGAGGCCCTGGGTTCGATTCCTGAGCACCACATAAGCAAAAAGAAAAAAGCCAGAAATGGCGCTGTGGCTCAAGTGGTAGAGCAATAGCTTTGAGCTGAAGAGCTGAGGGACAGCGCCCAGGCCCCACAACCGGACCCCCCCCCCCCCCAAAAAAAAAGCTGTGAGTATTTACTTTTTTAAAAATTTAGGAGAATATTAAATTCTTGAATAGATAAGTTCCTATATTGCAATTATTAAAAGTGAGTATATTTTTCCATCCTGGAGAAATATTCAAAATATATTATGTAGTAAAAGAATTATAGATCAATTTGTGAAATATATTTTTATTTTTCAGGACATATATATTTATAATAACCTAAAAGACTTGTCAGAAATGTCAGTAATATTTATTCATTTTAAAATCACAAAAGTAAAATCCAAAAATTTTAAAAGAGAATTCTGAAAGATAAGACTATGCCCTGAAGTTGTTGTTTTAAATACAGATTTTTCATATTCTTTTCTGAGTTTCATATCTAATGATGTGAAAAAACAATTAGTAAATATACAAAATATGTTTGTATTTAGCCATGTATTAATTTAAAAGGAAAAATATCTCTGCCTTTATTGGTGTTGTTGAAAGTGAAATATTCTTTATGTTGCACAAATTACATCTGAATTTAGCAGGTTCCATACCTACTTTGTACAAGAGAGACATAAGCCTAAACATTTTATACCCTTCCCAATTCTGGTCAAAACATATTTATTTGAAATGCCTTTCTTTGGGCAAATGCTGTATACGATATATCTAAAGCTAATTAGAGATGTCCTTGCCAAGCATTAGCCCCTTAGCCTAAGGTTAGAAGTAATTCTTCCTTTTGTAAAAAAATTCAGTTTCACAGTTCTTACAAATAATTAGTGAATTAGTCACTTCCGTTTCATAAACAGCAGAGACTTCCATCTCTAAATTATAATGATGAACCAGTGTGGCTCTTGTCAGTTCCACATCAGTGCTAAGCAGTTTGTCACTTGCATTGTGTATGAAGCCATTGTTCTGAGAGATGTGTGGATGAACAGCCTGACCAGGGACCAGGGCTGCTTTCTGCACTAGAAATTAGCAACAGTTCTGTGCCATTTGCATAGAGACTATGGAAAGTTTTCTAAACCTTTCATTCTTTCCACAGGAAGATTCTCATGCCATTCTACCTTGTTCTTAACAAGAGAAATGTTAAAATATAGAAATACACATATACACATATACATATACTATTAAGGGAAAAGGAGCCAGAATTGAAAAGAGACTTAGTTTTATAACTCAGCTAATACCAATAGTGAAAGTATATAAGCTAATCATTAGAAGAGTTTTATCAAGCTACTTTTTAAATTTTATTTTTTACATTTTCTTTTTAATTGACTTGCAGTATACATATTTATGAAGTGTAATGTGTGATCTTTTAATCTGTAGGTACAATGTACAGTGATCAGATGTGAATCTTAAATCATCTTAAATATTTATCTTTGTGGTGAGAACATTCAAAATTTTTCATCACCAAAATAGTAGTATTCACCATAGTCATCCTGCTGTGCAAGACTAAAGAAAGTGAAACTCAGTGACCACAAGATGGCAGCACTGGAACAAAATTTGAAAAATAGACCCTTAAGAATTACATTTATTCTACACAAATTTATTCCTAAACTGAAAATTTGGATTAGGAATTCTCAGCCACTAAAGTTTATGAAATATTCCAAAGTACAAAGACTGAAATCTAAATTCTGGTCCCAGTCATTTCTGATAAAGGGTATTCAACTTGGACTACCACTACATAATAAGTGAATCAATTCTGCTTTATAACCTACTTTCTCTAATTCCTGTAAACATCGTGAGTTAGCTGATGACTGCCTTAGAGCTGCTGCCTGAACCTTTCCTCTGAACTACTATTCACTCACCCAATTACCTGCTTACCTGTCTCCTTCCATACCTAACAGGTGTCTGAAATCTAACAGGCCTAAAGCTAAAACCTCAATAGCCCTTATAGCCCAGGCTGGCCTAAAACTCCTAATCTTCTCCAAACTGCTAGGATTACAGACTTCTAGATTATAAATGTGTACTTGTAATTTACCACCATTCCTGGCTCAGAGTGACCAGTTAAAAAGATCTTCTCACTTTATTTATTTGAACCTCTAAATGGCTTCCAATCCAATTTCAAATAAAATTCAAAATCCATTCCCTGGATATAGAGCTATGGTTCCTAGTTATTTCTTTGTCTCTTGTTACAGTTACACCAGATGTCCCCCTTATTCTCATTGCTGCATCCATACTGGCCCCTGTACCATGCCTAGAAAACCAGGCACATCACTGTGGAGCCTTTGCATGCATTGTTTCCTCTGCACAGAGCACCCTTCCCCAGTTACCTACATATCCTGCTCCTTCACTTCTCCCAGTTCCTGTTGGATATGACCTCATCAGAAAGACCCTCCCTGACAACCCTCTGGAAAATGGAATCCCCCCAGCCTTTCTCTGCTAACCATGTTTTTTCCCATAGCATTTGTCCCATCCAGTGTTCTATATGTTTCTACGTTATCTGTTTATTACCTGCTTCCATCCCATTCAACATCAGCTATATCAGAACTTAGATTTTACTTAACCTATTTACTAGTGTACCCTACAGTTAGGATTGACACATAGTAGGTACTTGATAATTATTTGTTAAATGAATGAAAGGAAGAAAGAGGAGAAGGAAGAAGAAAATAGGTTACTACCTAAAAAGAAAGTATTAAGGATCTGCAATCCTGTCTAAGGAGTAAGGTTTGAAACCAGCTTGGGCAGCAGAAAAGTCTGCAAGAGACTTCATCTCCACTTAACCAGCAAATAGCTGGACTGGAGGCATGGCTCAAATGGTAGAATGCAAGCTGAGCAAGCTCAAAGCCCTAAGTTCAAGCCCCAGTACTGGTACACACCAAAAAAAGGAAAGAAAGAAAAAAAAGTTACTTGAGCAGTGAGCTTGAAAAAGAGAACTTCCAGGCTGTGTTCTTTGAGTGGCTGCCTTCTAAATTATTAACTTATTTCTATCCATTAAAATTAATTTCCTCTAAGATAGTCTTTTCTTCTCATTGTCACAAATTTATCAACTAGTAACTTAATTCTCTTAGAAGTTAGCAAGGGAAAATGATCTGAGACTTCATCAACAACACTTTTTTAATACACTTAGGAGTCGGATGTCATTTTAACTAGTAATTACAAGTTAGGTGCTGTTTTGTTGACATACAGTAAGGACAGAATGAGTCGCAAAGTCATCAGTTGAATCTTGATACTAGTTTTGGTTTATGTTGTCGGCTGTGCTTGATTTTGGTCATAACATTACTCTCTCACTTTTCTTGTTAACATTCCAGTAAGTTTTGTTGGTTACCTTTGTTGTGTAGATATTTGTGGAGGTAAATAAATCATATGGTTATCCTCCCCACAGGAAAACAGCATCATCCTAAATGGGACTGTGATGGTCAGCACAAGCCGTCTACCTAGTTCGTCCAGTGGAGAGCAGCCAGTGGGTGACTGGGTGCGCTTCAAGCTCTGCATGTGTGCTGACGGGACACTCTTCAAGGTGCAAGTAACCAACCACAACATGGGCTGCCAGATCTCAGACAATCCTTGTGGAAACACACATTAGAAGAACTCTAGAGGTCGTCAGTATATTCATATCTTGCCTTTTTAAAAAATATGCATGCAAATCATGTTTTTACAGAGTTTGTGATAACTCGTAATTATTTTACCTGGAGGTCACTACTGTTATTATGTAGTCTCCATAATTAAAACATTTTTCAGTGCCTGAATTCTAATAGATTTTATTAAGTTGCACTGGTCTTCAAAAGATAGTTCTTTAAGTAACTTAGTTAATAAAATTAATCTTTAAAGAAGTATTTTTTTAAATTTTATTATCCCTTATCTAAAAGATAAAGGGCTGAAACAAACTAGTTAGACTCATCATCAGTCAGCTTTTGGGGATAGACCCTAAGAGACATTTAAAAGATACTCCATCAATGGTCCATGCTGTTTTGACTGCTAAAAGGAAAGATGCACATTAATCTTGTGCATTAATCTTGAGCCATACCCTTCCATGCAAGTGAAGTCATTAAGGAGTTTAATACATGTAAGATCCTGTTCTGCAATATATTGTTTATTTGAAATAATGGTTAATATTAAGTGCTCACAAAGTGTTAGACACTAAAACACTAACCACTAAAACACAATGATAGCTGCCATTCGCTGAGCACCTTACGGTTTCTAGATAGTGTCCTAGGCATTGCATGTTTAAAATCTAATTCGCACTGCAGTTCTAAAGTAGGAATTACTGTTCAATCTTTTCCCATTAGGGAACTGAGGAACAGAGAAGTTAATTTGTCTCACAGCACATAGTAGATATGGGATTTCAAATGTCATCTTTTTTTATAATCTGTACTAATTTTCAATTATTTAAACCTCCTGAAAGATTGAATAAAAAGACTAAACTTAGCTAAGCAGGTAATAAGTAATAATCAAACAAACAAACAAACAAAAAAAAAACCCTGTGCTTTCTAACAGTAAAATTCATGTCAGACAAAAAAAAAACACCAATCACTATTAGACTTAAAATATTCAGTGGGAAGATCTAATTGGACTTTTTACCCATTTTCTACACAGTTGTCCTCTGCATACAAGTACCTGAGTGGGCTAAAGAGATACCAGGATATTTATAGCCCAGTGGAAAGTGAGGAGGCAGTGGGTCCAGACAAGCTCTGCTGTCCTGGAATGATAGGATGCATTTACTTCTGTGTGCCACACAACTATTGCCCTGTTAAATATGCCCTATGCACCAGGATGCACTGGACCAAAGGTTGCTAATACAGGAGATAATGCACATAATTTTTTGGGGGAGGAGGGTCATGGGGCTTGAACACAGGACCTGGGTGCTGTCCCTCAGCTCTTTTGCTCAAAGCTAGCACTCTACCAGTTTTAGCCACAATGCCACTTCCAGTTTTTGAGTGGTTAATTGGAGATAAGAGTCTCACAGAGATTTTTTTCTGCTCAGGCTGGCTTCAAACCACAGTCTTTAGATCTTAGCCTCCTGAATAGCTAGGATTATAGGCATGAGCCACCAGCACCTGGTGCAAGTAATTTTTAAATAAGTATAAGACTATCTCTGCCTCTAATATTACTATCTCATTGTAATTATTTATAACTCTTAAGTCAGTTTAATTTTAATGTATATCCTATTTTATTTGAGAGGAACTCTGGCATTAAGATACATGGAAAATCAGAGACTAGGATCCCAAAGTAGGTTGGTGTAAAATAGGAAGTAGGGATGAAGCAGAAACCCAACTGCACCAAAATGTGACCACATTCTGTTATAGTCACTCTTAAGAAAACTTTCTTAAGAAACTCTTAAGAAAATCAATACAAAATGCAATTCATATTCAATATTGTCATGATTGGCTCTGATAGGAAAACCAGATACCTAAGAGATTATAAAGTCAAAAAGTTATATTGAAAAAAAGGAATTGACCAACACTGAGTATAGCTTTTAAATGGAAAGGGAGAAAGCCTTTTGACCTCTGAGTATTATTAATTATAGCAGTATGTGAACCATTTGGATATATTCAGTATCATTAATATCTGAATGATGCTCAGAAAACTAAGTCAATAGAATTTTTGTTTAGACTTTTAAATTGTGCATTTGTTACTGTTCTATTTAAATTGCTTTGGGAGTTTCAGTAAATATTTTTTACTAAAACTATATAATACTATATTACAAAATATTATTTATTGAATATATAATTCATGAAATAATCTATTTTTACTTCTCTTTGAGAAATACTTGTCTTTTTGATACATCTTCATTAAATGCTTTTGACAGAAGATATTTTGATGTTTTTATAGAGCTGATTGTTTCCTGGTATAGTATTATTGGGTACTTTGCAGGGTCTTAGTTTTTCCATTGAATGAGAAACTGGAAAATTCACTAAGAAACATAACAACCATGAACCATCCATTTTACCCATGACTTTGATTCCCAGTAAAGCGTAGCTACTCAGTCTCTCCACCAGATGGTATCTTTCCAATAAACAGAAGTTTGTCTCTTCCTGCTATGTGTTCATTCCTTTGCACTGAGCTCCACCAGACAAGCAGCCACGTGGAGGTAGGTGACAAAGGAAGGACCTCCATTAGAGGCATGATGGTCCTTGTTTAAATTAGGACAGCATTCGAGAAGTGATTGCAATGGCAAAGAGGGGCGCAATAAATAAATGCAAGACTTTAGGGAGTCACTACCAGGCACCTGGGAAAAAAATGAAAATATCACAAAACAGAGACTATCCACAGTGTGCAATATTCAGAAGTCTACCTTACATGTATTCTTTTTGCATTATGAAAACAAAACCAAAATAAAGCTGTATGATTGTTTTAATGATGAAAAGGTGAACTTCTACTAGTTCTGAATGACTGTTTTTTTAAGGGAGTAAAACTGTTGTTAAGGTGCTACACTTGAAGAGACCATTGACATGCTGATAATTCTATTAATTTTTTTAAAATGCTGAGAAGGCAAAGGTTTCAAATTATGCCATATTAAAAAAAACATAAATGTGTTACTGATTGCTAACTTGAGTGTTAGTTGATTCATTTGTAATAACAATTAATGACCTCTTTTTACAATAAAAGTTCTGTAAACTATTTGCTGTTTGTTTTTTAATGGTTACAAGGTTTCTGCTTGATCTCTTTCTCTGTCTCTTACACACACACACACACACACACACACACACACACACGAGATGAATTGGACCCATATTTATGTTTCTATGGAATGAAAGTTAGAAAAGTTGTTCAGTCCCAGCTGGAGAGTTTTCTGTATGCTTCCATGGCCCAGGGGATTGTGCACTGTCACTGTCGCAAGAGCTTGGAAATGAAAGAGTGAAGGCTCCACAGAGAAAGCTGATGGGATGGGTGGAGCCTCCATGGCTCAAGTCTAGGATCTCCACCTGGCCTGACCCAGCTGTAGACCAACCCACTTGCCAACCGGTAAGGGTCTCTAAGGATCTTAAGGTATGCTTCAGGTGCAAGTAGTAACATTGTGTCTTTCCATAGCTTTTCATCAGTATCTTGTTTTTTCCTGTCTTTTTCCAACTTCTCTTGATGAAAGAATGAATTCTTATTTCTGCATTGTTAATTCTGCCTTCCCCTGACTCACTCTGATACATCATATCCAAGTATTTCTAACTGCTTCCTCATACTTCAGCTGGAATTTGTCAACTTAAGGGCTATATTTTACCTAATTGTTTACAGCTTCCTCAGAAACTTAAGAGATCTCAGTGGTCTCTTACCTAGTATGGATAAATTTGAATGTAGTATAAATAAAATTCTCATCAATGCTTTTAACTTTAGATTTATCCTTACCTACTGTGTTGATTTCAGACTTTCAGTTGTCAGTCTTTTCAACTTAAAAGGAAACCAGGTAATAAAAAAAATCTAATTTAAATCTCCTTTTAAAAAGGCGTTTTTAACCGTAGCTTTCTCTCTTAAATATTGCAAAGTAATGACTGTATTGGGGTTTTTTTCTGAAGGGTTGCTCATATTATAGTCAAAGCTTGGTGTGCAGTTGTATAGATAATGATTGCAGCTCTGAGTGTATAAACAAATACCTTCCAGCTGAGCAAGTTAATTCCATTTCAGAGTCTTGCACATAGGGCACAGTGGAAATCACTCCTCCCTGCTGTAAGGCACCTTGAAGTTTACGACCATGTGTACCTGAATTTAGGTGTCCTTCAATTGTTGGGAGAATTGACCTGTGAAACAAATGTAAGAGGTGTGTTGTGAATTTAATTCACTCTGCATGCATGCACACAGGTATCCCAATGAGAGTATTGACTGTTAAAAATATAAAATGTGTTGGGCATCAGTGGCTCACATCTCTAATCCTAGCTACTCAGGAGGCTGAGATCTGAGTATCATGGTTCAAAGCCGGTCTGGGCAGAAGAGTCCCCGTAAGCTCTTATCTCCAATTAACCACTTAAAAACCAGAGACTCAAAGTGGTAGAATACTAGCCTTGAGCACAAAAAGAGGCTCAGGAACAGCACCCAGGCCTGAGTTCAAGCCCCCCTCCATATATATATATATATATATATATATATATATATATATATATATATATATATTTATATATTATATAGAATATATATAATGTGTGTGTGAGAGAGAGAAGGGGGGTCCTTACTATCTTGGGGGGTTCAAAAACAGCTATAAGGCAAAATACTGGCAGTGAGGCATAGTATTGACACTCTAAATGTTACTGACATCCATTCATTCAGTAAATGTTGACTGAAAGATGGGTGGAAACAGACAAAATAGACACTAGGGCAGGAAAGGAGGCAATGGGCCATCAGATTTTAGATAAGTCTGAAAGTGTAGGATTTAGGCTGAGTAGAGAAAAGGATTCTGCTTGGAATTGAAAATAAGCAATGTTTTATTGGCTGAAACATAACTGTTTTTGCCCAAGTCACATCTTAGCAGTTGCTCCACATGAATTTACCAAACTTAATTTATAAGACTAGGTAGATAATGGGAAGCTTCAAATGGCAACCCAAAGGACTTGGGCTATAGATAATTAAGGAAGCTCTTGAAAGATTTTAAATGAGGAAATTATATAAGGAAAACAGAAAACAGTATCCTTGGAATTTCCCTAGGGTAGATTAACTGCCTCAAGAAGAGGCAGTTAAGCCATTTCATATTTTAGACTGTAGTGATAAAGACTAGTATGCATGTTATTAGACCAAAAAGGAAGGAGTCATTTATTTGACTTGTAGAGAGAATACAGAATATTACTGATTGTGTACACATTGGTTTTTAAAATAGAACTTAGAACAAATCATTTCAGGTTATTTCGTGTTTACATTTAACCTTTATAACTTGTGTATACTTACAAGAACTTTATTGCTCTCCTGGAATTTTTGGTGAAAAAAAAATACATGTTTCTATATCTCATTATATCTTCATGTTCTGAGGCAGAGAATCCTTTTCTTGACCCATTTTACTTTATGTTCTTTACACTTAAATGATTTCAAAATGGTTTGAAAGTCAAAGCCACAAAGATGAACTTTGTTTAGTTCGTTGACTCATTTTTTTTTTAATCAAGTTGTCTTTTTTGTCAGTTGAACTTTCTACTCATACGGGAGGTTCCCAGTTTCGAGAAACTGGATGTCATTCCTGTAATAAACCACACAGCTGATTACAGTATTCTAGATAAGCGCAATAGACTTTACCCTGTGCTAATGACCAGCAAAGAAAAGTCTGGTCTGAGTAGGTTTAAGTCACTCCAAAGCAGACTGCTGGGTGAATGATAGTGGAAAAACAGATGCACAGGTGAGGCCTTAATGAATGTATATTTTCTGAAAAATCAAGGGGTCCTTTAAAATGTCACAGAAGTGTAATTTTTATACTATAGCTTTCAGTTTGTTAGCTACATTAAAATACCCCGACTTCTAAGAACTCATTCACTTAAAATGATAGTCAAGATAATTTTCTTTATTCTTAAATTTTTAAATTCCTGCTTCTTATTTGCTGTTAGTGTTTACACAATTCATTTTGAGTAAGTCATCTTACTTTACTTTTTTCAGGCATGATGAAGAACCTCAGCATTGCTACCATAGTTACAAGTCTTGTCTTCACTGGAATAATGGCAGAGCCATCAAGAGAAAGCAGCATTTTCTCCAATTCTGAGGACCAATGGAATGAGTATCTTCTGACAAATTGTTCTTTTACTGGAGAACATTTTCCACCTCCTGATGAATCAGAGATAGTAGCCACAGTGGATGTGAGCTTCCATTTCCTTAAAGTTCTCTTCCACTCTCCTACAAAACAAGGACAGGAAATAGAGCATTTGGACCCCAGTTATGATATCATATGGAAAATAATCTCATGCCCTCTTGAGCATGTACATGCTTTGGAAATATTAAACCTCAGTGACAGTGTAATCCACTCTATCTCATTGGATCTGCCGGGACCTCACTCCTCACAGCTGAGACTACATAGAAGCAGCCTTCTACATGAGCTTCCATTTCTAAAGGTGCTCATTCTTCAAAGAAATAAGCTCAGAGATATACCCACAGGTGAGTAGTTTTAAAAGTGGAATGAATCAGAGAAACAGTGAGTTTATGGAAAACTACTATTTTATGTCAACCGAATTCTTATTTTCAGTTTTAAGGGAGCAGCCGAATGTCAATATATGATTGGAGCAAATACAATGAAAGGTCCTTCTTAGTGGAAATTAGGATATATAGTGTGGAACCGATATGAAATCCAATCTAATCTCCACTTAGTATGACTCACATTAATGTTAGGTACACTTGTCAAGAGATACTAGAAAGTATCTAGGTGCTAAATAATAATATATGATTTTTAACTTATCTGTTCTGAGTGTTGTATATTAATACAGAAAAAAACACTGAGAAATAACTTGTTTGGATATTTTAATAAGTAGCAATGCAATTTTATGTTGACATATTTGTGATTTTTTTCTTCTTGGAATACATTTTGTCTCTTCTTACTTAGTAGTACTCCAAATGTAGATCAGTACTATGAATCAGTATTATGAATTTGTATATACACTTTTTATTATCAAGTCAAAACCAGAATTTCTTGTCCTACCTTCTAACAGAATGCTTTACATCTCTTCTTATTGTAATAAATACTCATCTGAACCCAATAGTGTACATCTTAGAGTTCCTTCACAAATAGGCCAGATTTTACTTAGAAAATATATCAGGTTTATGAAGCAAGACTTCCTTTGCCTTTTTTTGTTGCTGTTCTTAGTTGTGGGACTTAAACTCTGTGCCTGGGCACTGTCCCTCAGCCCTTCAGCACAAGGCTAGTACTGTACCACTTGAGCCACAGCACCACTTCTGGTTTTCTAGTGGTTTATTGGCGATAAGAGTCTCATGGACTTTCCTGCCCAGATTGGCTTTGAACCGCAACCATCACTTCTCAGCCTCCTGAGTAGCTGGGATTACAGGCGTGAGCCACCAGCACCGGATTTTCCTTTGCCAAAACATTCTGGAGTACTAGACACTTTACTTTCTCTTTGTTCTTAACCTTCACTATTTGCTAAGCACTTACTTTATATGACAATTTTACTTTTTTAAAGAAGATTGTATCTTTTCTCTATCACAAATCACCATTTTTCCTCATTTTTCAGTTTTGACTATTCATATCTTTATTTTTGCCTCTTAATAGCATCTATCCATGCCATAAGCATCATTTTGACAATAACAGCCTCGCAGGTGGTGTAAGTCCTCAATCACTGTGTCAGAGAGCTGTGTGGAAGGTGAGAGTTTCCCTTCCTGACTTTTCTATAAAACCATGTGTAGCATTTTCACGTAGAGTGTAAACTAGTTTTGATCTTATTTTGTAATTTTTATCTTATTGTTCATTTTTCAAAAGGAATGCCTGTTATTATTTAGGAGTTGAAGGAAAAAAGGGGGAAATTAAAGTTATTCATGCAGTATGCATTCTTCAAGGGTTTTCTTGTTTTTGTTTTTTGTTTTGTCAGTCACAGGGCTTGAACTTGGGGTCTGGACATTGTCCCTGAGCTTTTTTGCTCTTTTAGCAGCCAACCACTTTGAGCCATAGTGTCACTTCCAGTTTTCTGGCTGCTAACTGGAGATGAGTCTCATGGATTTTCTTGCCTGGGCTGGCTTTGAACCACAATCCTCAGATCTCAGTCTCTTGAGTAGCTAGGATTACAGGTGTGAGCCATCAGCACCCAGCTCAAGTTTTTTTTTGTTTTGTTTTTCTTTTTTTTGGTGGGGGAGGGGGGTCCGGCCATGGGGCCTGAACTCTGCCTGGGCGCTGTCCCTCAGCTCTTCAGCTCAAGGCTAGCGCTCTACCACTTGAGCCACAGCGCCACTTCCAGCTTTTTTCTTTTTGCTTATGTGGTACTGAGGAATCGAACCCAGGGCCTCAGGCATGCAAGGCAAGCGCTCTACCACTGAGCCATCTTCCCAGCCCCTCAGGTTTATTTTGTTACCTATATATTGTTCCTTCCAAAATTTTAGAGATTACTATTATGTTCCATAATTTTTATTTTATATCATGTTAGGTAGATAGATGAAAGATAACAGAGAAATATTACATTGGTTGTTGGTTGTGTGTGTGTGTGTGTGTGTGTGTGTGTGTGTGTGTGTGTGTGTTTTGTCAATCATGGGGCTTGAACTCTGGACCTGGGCACAGTTACTGAGCTCATCAGCTCAATGCAAGTGCTCTACCACTTGAGCCACAGGGCCCCTTCAAGTTTTCAGGCAGTTAATTGGAGGTTAAGAGTCTCACCGACTTTCCTGCCCAGGCTGGCTTTGAACCAGAACCCTCAGATCTCAGCCTCCTTAGTAGCTAGGATTACAGGCCTGAGCCACCTGCACCTGCCTTACAAATAGTATTTTAATAGTTGGCTTAATTGGTTTACTAAACATTTAAGGTATTTTTTTCCCTGATGAACATCATTTTATGTATACATATTCATATGGCGCAATGCATTTTTTTTGTCAGTCATGGGGCTTGAACTCTGGGCCTGGGCACTGTCCCTGAGCTCTTCAGCTCAAGGTGAGCGCTCTGCCACTTGAGCCACCGTACCACTTCCAGTTTTTAGGTGGTTAATTGGAAATAAGAGTCTTACAGACTTTCCTGCCCAGGCTGGCTGGCTTTGAACCGGTCCTCAGATCTCAGTCTCCTGAGTAGCTAGGATTACTGGCATGAGCCACCAGTACCTAGCCACGATGCATTTTTAACTAATATAGTAGGTGATAATGTCACTTCTAAATTCAAGTGTCCTAAAAAATGGAACCTTGTATTATCTGTAACAACATAACTGCATTGAATCTGTAGATTGCTTTTGGTAGCACAGCCATTTTCACAATATTAATTCTGCCAATCTGTGAACATTAAGTCTCCATCTTCCAGTGTCTCCTTCAATTTCTTTAAGGTGTTATAGTTTTATTATAGAAGTGTTTCACCACCTTAGTTAAGTTTATTCTTAAGTACTTAATTTTTCTTTAGGCTATTATAAATGGAATTGTTTTCCTGATTTCTTTCTCAGCTTAGTCACTCTTAATATATAGAAATATTACTGGTTGTTGTTTACTACTACTTTGCTAAAGTGCTTTTCAGATCGAAGAGGTTTTTGGTAGGGTCTTTTTAGTATGGTATCACATCTGAAAATAGGAATCATTTTACTTCTTTCTTTCCCCTTTACATTCCTTTGTTTCTTTCTCTTGCCTTATTATAGTGGCTAAGGATTCAAGCAAAGTAAAATAAGAGTAAAAACTCTTGTCTCATTCCTGACATTAGAGAAAATAGTTCCCTCTTTCCCCCAATTCAGTGTTGGCACAAGTTTAACATATGTAACCTTTTATGTTAAGATATATAGTACTTCTATTCCTGTTTTCTTTAGCACTTTTGTTGTTAAAGGATTTGGTATTTTGTCAGAATTTCTCTTGAATCTATTGAAATGATCACATAATTTTGTCCACAATTTTGTATATGTACTGTATTATACTTATTAATTTGTATATTGTTGAGCTACCTTGCATGCCAGGAATGAGACCAGTTTGTTCATGGTATATAAATAATCTTAATGTGTTATTGAATTTGATTTGTAAATATTTTATTGAGAATTTTACATTTATGTTCATCAGAGAAATTGGTCTATAATTTTCTTTTTTGTTGTACCCTTCTTGGGTTTTGGTGTTTTCCTTTGAAAATGGTGATAAGCCTCAGGATTTTGTGAAAATTAAAAATTGAAATGATTGTGAAATGTTTTGAGCATAAAGAATATAAATAGGAATTTAAAATTGTTTCTTTCTTTCACTTCAGAGTTAGACATGAGCTTTCCCTACTGAGCAACTAGGGTACTTAATCCATGCAATTAAGTAATGAGGTATTGTAGGAAATAAGAGTTCACATCTCCAAGTAGGCCAGAAAGGTATCATGAAAATGTTAGGAAACCTATAGAATACCAATGGCTTTTGTTGCATCTTTTCTTCTAGAGCTATGTATTTGCATATTAAAACATTCAGGGATTACAGGGGTGAGCCAATCCTAGCTACTCAGGAGGCTGAGATCTGAGGATCATGGTGCAAAGCCAGCCTGGGCAGGAAAGTCCATAAGACTCTTATCTCCAATAAACCATTAGAAAACCGGAAGTGGCGCTGTGGCTCAAGTAGTAGAGCGCTTGCCTTGAACTGAAGAGTTGAGGGACAGCACCCAAGCCCAGAGTTCAAGCCTTACAACTGACCAAAAAAAAAAATAAAGAGAGAGAGAGAGAAAAGAAAGGAAAAACATTCAGTGATATTCTCCTCTGTAAAGAGAAACATTTTCTCTGGAAGTTATATTCAAATTCTTAATAACTAGCCCTCATGGTGAGTTCCCATTGGATGCAGCCTAACTACGGTACTGGTGCAGTGTCCAACTGCATTGGGAAGAGTTGAGGACAAGTCTAAGGACAGTGGGCAGTACACAGGGACTCCAGCATTTGGAGTTGCTATTGCAGGAGTATTTCTTACTAGCTTATGCCAACATAATATTAGCTTTGGTTTTCTTTCATTGTTTTTTAGACATGTGGTCTTCTTGGCCTATCTGCTGTTTTCTTGCTTTTTATACAAACATGAATACAAAGAAATCACAGTCTTCTATGAGTTTATTAACCCCCCCCCCCACTTAAAGCAAGCACCTCTTAGTCAGCTTTAGCTAATGCTGTCTTATGCCACTAAGAACTTCCAGTTCTTCGAAAGAAACCAGAAATGCAAATTTTTTATTGAATCTTTAATTTTCCTCAAAGACCTTTAAATCACTATGTAAGCCAAATACTATTGCCTCTGGCCTATTGAATGTATATTGGATAAGAGGCAATGCAAGATTTCAAAAATGTGAATTCTACCCTGAAGGGACTTGATCATTTGATGAATAGACAGGCAATTAATAGGGAATTGTATAGTTGGATGTACTATTTTGTATAAATAAACTTTTTCTTGTCTTTTTTACCAATCCAACAGACTAAGCTTTAAAGTGAAGATTCTGTACTCTGTCCTTAGCACCAAGTACCTTGCTCATAATATTTTGATTGATTTATTGCCCTAAAAGTCTCTTGCTTAATCTGTACAAATGAATATGTGACAATTTATGTGTTACAGCCATTTCAATTAAGTCATCATCTCTGCATAATCAGTATTGCAATCAGTACTGTGCAGACAGTAGAAAAGTAATAAACCCTTATGGAATTGAACCAATTTGATCTGTTATGCAGTAGTGAGTTAAAGACATAGCCCGCATGCGTGAACAGAACAGAAAAAAAAAATGTAAAATTGAAGTCACTTCTTTGAAAGACCCATCTGGGAAAGCAAAATTGGGAGTCTGCTTTGACTGGCACCTTATTCTCAACCTACATTCTCAGTGCCAAGTGGGCCTTCTGGGTACTCCCTGGAACCAAGTGAAACAAAGGCAGAGACAAAAATGCAATTTAATTTTTGTCCTGAAAAAAACAAAATCTAGCTGTAATGCACTGACTTCAGAAAAAAATACAAGACTATCTAGAAAATAGCGATAGGTCCAACAATAAGTAGTTAAAAGAAAGGACATTGCTGCAAAAACTTTAAAAGTAAAAAAAAAAAAAAAATGATCTATGTACTAAAGCATCAAAACAGCTTTTTCCCTGATATATCAGAATCATTTACCTAAATCAATAAATATCTATTCATCACCTCCTTTAATCAAGGTTTGGCCAGATATCGTGGTAATATGTCTGTGATCCCAGTGGAGGTAGAGGATCACAGTTCAAGACCAACCCTAGAGCAAAAAATACTAAGATACTATCTGAAAAAAAAAATGCTGAAGATGTAGCTCCAGTGGTAGAGTGCTTGCCTAGTAAATGTAAAGCACTGAGTTCAAACCTAAGTACTGCCAAGAAATGTTTGGATTTTTAAAATTGAATCTTTTATTTTAAAAGTAGAACACACTGATTGAAAGAAAGAATCCAAAAGTATATAACATATAAAAGGAAATTCCCTCTCATATATTTCTTCCCTTCTCCCCGCCACCCTAGTTCTCAATGCACTGACTACTAATAATGACTAACTTAAAATATATGGTTAACTTTGTGTATGACTCTTTTTCACCTAAAACATTTGAACAATATAGTGTTCTGAACTTAACTTTTTTTTTTCTGTTGAATCAGTTCACAGGTTGACCCCACTCTATTAACTTTAAAGACTACTTTCTATTTTATAGTATCATTTTATGTCACATTTCTACAGTTTTTCATTTGTGGATCATTAAAGTTGTCTCCAATTTTCTACCATTATGAATAATACTGCTATAAATACTACTGGTTTTAGTTTTCATTTACTTCTTAATTTTAACAGGTCTGTGGAAACTGAAGTCATTGCAGAGTTTGGATCTGTCCTTCAATGGAATACTGCAAGTTGGGGTTTCTGATTTTCATAGCTGCCTGCAACTGGAGCACATCTATTTAAAGAGTAACAAGATATTCAAAATCCACCCAGAAGCCTTCAAGGACCTCAAAAAATTAAAGGTTCTGAAATATGTCTATACTGTCTTAAATATGCAGCTATATGGGTAATTACCTTAAAAAGACTATTTCTATTGAAGAAGTTCTTCAATAGAAGAAGTTCTTCCTAGCTATTGATTGAACACCTAAGTCTATTTTAAGATCCCTGAAAAGAGTTGATTTCTTGCCTCAAAAATCAAAACTTTCAGTAATCAACATGAGCTTAAACATAATACTTAGCAGCAAGAATTGGCACATTATTCCTCCAAATCAAATTGAGTCACACTCCAAAATCCCAGTTACCAGTTGGCAAGAAATTAAATATGTGATTTTTCAGTCTGTCTTTATAAGCTACAAGATGAGTCACTGTCCTATGTAAACTAGGACATTTCAAAGGTGGCTGCGAATCGCTGGCCAACACTGAAATGTGAACAATTCAAGACCATAGAGTGAGTCCGTAACCATACTGCTTCATTGCCAAAATTAGACATGGGAAAAATAGCAATGAAATAGTAACTGTACATACTTGGTTGGCACTTACCAATGCCACAACTCTCCTAAACATCAAACCAGATTGGGGGAATCTGTGCCACATTCTGGAGCTCTAAACATTGTAGTTAATCTTCCTGAACTCCTAGTAGCTGAGTATAAGGAACCCCAAAGTCTGCTTCAAGCCCTTTTCAGCATACCATCCCCCTTGTGAGGACAGTGTAAAATGCCCTCACTAATCATTTAGACCAATCAGAGGGACCTCCAGAAATGATCTTGTAGAAACTTCTGTCATAACCTCTGTCACCCACCACTGTTCTCTATATGGATCAATATTATTCTCTAGCAAGATATAGTTTGAAGTGTTATAGAAGCCAAATGTAAAAAACAAAAATAAGCAAGTAAATTTCACCTTATTGAAATATATTAGTTAGCCCAATGCACTAGCTATTTATTATTATGATAAAGGTGATATACAGAGGGGTTATAATTCCATAAATCAGGTAATTAGTACATTTCTCTTTTGGACAATGTGATCCATTCTCTTGCTCTCTCCCAGTTTTTCCCTCTCGTCCCCACCTACAAGTTGCATAGTTCATTTTCAACATCACGTCTAGTGAATACCACTGCTGCAATTTGTTCACCTTTGTCCCTCCATTTGGGTGTCCCAAAGACAGATGAACAAACAAGACCAAAAAAAAAGAAAACAACAACAAAGAAAAATCCTCTTGTTTCATTTTCCTGGAGTTCATTTTGATAAATATTACTTCATATGATCAGAGGCATATGGGCATTGTGCTTTTGTGTTCCTGCCCTAATACCCTCCTTTAGTCTCACTGTGAATGCCTAGAGTCCTGTGAAATTCATCATAGTCCATTATATCTTAGATCTAGCTTCTGCATATGAGAGAAAACATGTGCCATTTGTCTCTCTGGGCCTGCTTACCTCACTTAACATAATTTGTTCTAAGTCCATCCATTTCCCTACAAATGACATACATTATTTTTTCTAATGGCTGTGTGAAATTCTATGGTACCACACTTTTTGGACCTACTCATCTATTGTAGGGTATCCAGGCTGTTTCCAATATGCTGCTTTTTACATATGAAATTACATCAATTAATACTGAGGGGTTTTTTGCATCCCCCTTTTTACAATCTTCAACACCTTTTTTGTGTATCTTACATCCCACAGAATTGTCTGATAGCCACATGTGGCTAACAGCTGTCTTGTTAAGGCAGCATGCACATGAACAGCTGCTGTTTGCCTGGTGTGAAATACTGTTGAAGTGTACCTGTGAGACAAAGCTCCAGCTCCCCCTTCTAACCAATAGAGCTTGAAAGCCTGCTTCACAGAAAGAAAGTTAGGAAGCCTGCTGCTAAGATTCCACCAAGGCACTGCTACTTCCCAGTCACACTATCTTCACCAAGTTATCAGATTTCTGTGCCTGTTTTCATATCTGTAAAATAGAAACAACTTAGTTCCTGTCTTATAGACTATTTTAATGAGGACTACATGTTTTGATGCACAAAAATTTATTAAGACAGTACTTAGGGTACAGTAAACATTGTACCACTTAGAGAATTGTGTGTGTGTGTGTGTGTGTGTGTGTGCCAGCCAGCCATGGGGCATGCCTGTCCCTGAGCTTCTTCTCGCTGAAGGCTAACACTACCCCTTGAGCCAGTTTATTAGAGATAAAAGTCTCATGGTCTTTCCTTACCCAGGCTGACTTCTAATTCTGATGCTCAGATCTCAGCCTTCTGAGTAGCTAGGATTACAAATGTGAGCCAAGGGCCACTTACAGAATCAAAGCTCAGCAAAATAAGACTTTAAAGGGGGTAGATGGAAGAGGAAGGAATAGATGAATGAAGAGAAGGGGGAAATGCAGTCACAAATCCAATGTATATCCTACAAAATTAAGAAGAGCGTTGAAATGGGTGACATTGATCAAGATATATTGTATTCATAAACTGCTTTGTTAAATGGCAACTCCTTTTTATAATTACTTAAAGATAACAATAAAAATAAATAAGCCGGGCACTAGTGGCTCACACCTGTAATTCTAGCTACTCAGGAGGCTGAGATCTGCAGATCATGGTTCAAAGCCAGCTCTGGCAGGAAAGTCCATGAGACTCTTATCTCCAATAAACCACCAAAAAACTGGAAGTGGCACTGTGGCTCAAGTAGTAGAGCACTAGCCTTGAGCTGAAGAGCTAAAGGACAGCACCCAAGCCCCGAGTTCAAGCCCCATGACTGACAGAAAGAAAGAAAAGAAAGGAAGAAAGAAAGAAGGAAGGTAGGAAAGAAGGAAGGAAGGAATTGGAAGGAAGCCACAAACAAAAAATAATTTTTAAAGTGAGCACCATGCCTTCTCTCTTAATATACCACCCGGATTATTATGCCACTTCTTGGTTAAAACCCTTACAAGATTTCAGTTAAGGCCTGACCCCTGCCTGCCTCTCCAGCCTCTTTCCAAGCCATCTGTCCCTGGCTTACTGCTGTCCTTCTGTTTTCACCTCAGGCCAACCCTAGCTGCTGATCCTTTACTTGCAAAAGCTAACTGTTGTTAGTCCTTCCAGATCTTAACAGATGTTACTTTATCAAGGGAGATTCTCCTGGGCCTCCTTTCAACACACCTCTAATGTGCTTTAACTTATCCTCAACCCCTACACAAAAAGGCATCATAGCCTTGGTTGTGGCTACTTGGTAATGTCTATGCTTCCTAACCCTACAATGACATGACAGTCATCATGCTCTTTATAGACATTGTGTCTGCTTTGTTTTCCAGTGTTTAAGACATTTACATTTACTTAACTGAATAAACAAAAGCATAAATAAAGTTAATGAATAGGTGAAGTCATTAACTATTGCTGCATCATGAATTTGCACAGGTTTAAATCATATTCGCCTATTGTCTCACAGTTCCTGGGGCCTTCACTTCATGGTCTCTCCAGAGGCTGCACCAGTGTTGGCCAAGGCTACAGTCATACCTGAAATCTATCTGGAAGAAGATTCCTTCCCAAGCTCACCTGCTGTTGGAAGACTTAGTTCCTTACTAAGCTATTGGGCTGGAGGCTCAGCTCCTCACCAGCGTTTGGTTCAGCCTGCCCTCAGGTTTCTTCCCTGTGGCCTTCCAGTAGAATTGGTTAGGACCTAACAGTTAGCTTGCTTCAGAAGTAGTGGGCCAGGGATCCTGCTGACAAAATGGCTAATTTATATGTAATCCTGAAGTGATGTATCATTGCTGCAATGTGTTCTAGAAACAAGTTACAGGTCCTGCCCACACTTCAGTGAGGGAAATGCTCAAGAGTCTGAATACCAGCAAGTGTTTCCCTGGGGACAAAGGATTCTGTCTGCTGTTACAGACATTAATAGAGCAAATGAGAAGGCCTACTTATCTTCACCAAGAATATATTGTAAAAGTGCTGGGGAACCTTATCTAGTGCGTTGTATGCTGATCTGATTATATATAATTTGCTCTATGCCTATTTCACTTTCTGTGCATATTTATTGTTCCTTATGAGTCTTCTGCAGCTCATAGGTAATGGATGCCACAGGCAAACTAAGAATCTACTCTGAGAATTTTTTTATTGTAAAGGCAATGTACAGAGGGGTTACAGTTACATAAATTAGGTATTAAGTAAATTTCTTTTTGAACACTGTCATGTCTTCCCTTGTTTTCTCCCAGTTGTTTTCCCTCCTGACCCCCTCCTCCTCCACAAGTTGTATAGTTCATTTTCCACATCTGAGAATGTTTAAAGTGCAGTAGTAATTCTCAATACCCCCTGGAACTGCCAATAATCACACATGATCTCCTTTGCTGTATGCCTTCTACATGTTTGAAAATAACTGGGAAACTAGCTTTGAAACTTGATGAACATTTTTAGTACTCATGTATCACAGTGAACACTGTTTTTCTTCTGAGTGATACATTTAATACTTGACTATTCTATTAATCTCTCCATGTGGGGATATTTTCTGAGGCCAGATAGATTTTTCAAAATGTAAAATCTTCATCATGCTTAAAGGGAATGAAATAAATTTCACTAACATTTCAAACTAGTATTTCTTAATCTTATTTCATTCTTCTTCAATGCAGTAAATTGTGAAGCACTATTATATGTTTCTCCAGTCCTTTGGTAATATATAACCCCCTTCAAATGCTGGTAGATAGGTATTTCTTCAGTCACATTTTACTATTCTGTTTTAATTTTTTTTTCAGGAATCATTCTTCCTGTCGTTAATTTTCATTTCTCACTCCAGTTTTGCTTTCAGTTTCATTATATTAATTGATTTTATCATGGCTACAACAAAAAAACTAGACAGAAACAACATAAGAGAGAAAACATTTCTTTTAGCCCATGGTTGCTTGGGCCTATGTGCCCGGCAGAACATCACGGCTGCAGAGCCATGTTGTGAGGAGTTTCATCACCTCAGCACAGACAGGAAGGACGAGAGTCGGAAAGGGGCCAGGAGCAGGAGCAAGCCCTGCCCCCAAAGGTTCCACCCAAGGGAGCCAGCTCTTCCTACTAGATCTCACCCTAGATCCACCAAAAATAGTGCCACTAGCTAAGGACCTAGATTTTAACACTGGAGCCTATGAGGAACATTTCCTATTTAAACCGTCACAATCCTAAACCCTGATAACACAAGAGTCCAAATTTATTTAACAGTACAAATTATAGCTAGTAAGGAAAAAAATCTTAATGGAAGATTTCACATGCACTTAATTCTTGAGCAGGTGAGCTCCAGGAGTTTTTATAAGAAGAGTAGAGATTTATACTCACTATTCGTTGACTTTCAAATCATTCCTAAATTCGTTTCACTTCTGAATACCATGAATGTATTTTTCTGTAACGTACTTTACTCCTAAAGTGTTTTGGTTTATAGGCTGCCTTAAATTTGTTCTCTATAGGTGGTAGACCTCAGCAACAATGCTCTGACCACCATCCTACCAGTGATGATCATTGCTCTAGAATTTCCCCATCTGGAGGTCAACGTGGCTGATAACAAATGGCAGTGTGATGATAGCTTCACAGTCTTCCAAAGCTGCATTTCTGAATCTTGGAGGAAAACATGGGATGTAATTTGCAACAAGTCTATAGGTATGTCAGTAATGTCTCTCTTCCCTGGGATGGTCCCATTAATGCATAAAAAAATTGAGGCTTGAGACAGTGACAGTTCCTTTGAAAGCAAGAGAGTGACCACAGCCTTGAGCTGTGTCACAGAATAATGTCTAGTGTCATCGATCATGGTGCCATCAGTTCATGGGCAGTTTTCTTCTTGTGGTCAAAGAAACCTAGTGTGAATCACCTCAATTGCATTTAGGAAAGAAAAAAAGACAGAGAGAGATGGAGGGAGGGAGGGAAGGAAAAAGAAAGAGAGATAGAGGGAGGGAAGAAAGGAGAGAGGAAAAAAACAACAGGGGGAGAGATATGGAAAGAGGAAGGGGAGGGAAGAAAGAAAAAGTAAATAGAAATGTCACTAAAGAGAATTTTGCCCAAATTATCACAATTTCATCCCACGTCTTAATTTCTAAGATCTGAAATGTATTCTCAAAGTGATACATGTTCATTCTACACACACACAAAAAAAATCCCTCACATTTCACAGTGTATTTTCCTTTGATTTGCTTCTTGCCCCTCTCCTGAGTTATTACAGGGGTTGAACAATCTGGGAAGGTTTTGTGTCCCAATATTAATTATCTTGGAAAAAAAGACAAATAAATATACAGAGCTCCACCCTCACTAAGTTCTGTTCAGAACTGCCATCAAAGTAGAATCATAGCACTGTCAGACAGTGTAGAAGAAATCCACAAAGAACAGTTAAGGGCTAAAGGTGGTCATCCATGCTTGTTTTGTTCCTTTCTACAATCCACATTGGCATTCAAGTGTGGAGGACAGAAGAGAAAAATGAATATTTTGCTCATTATCAGCATCTGGAATGGTGAGGAAACAATCGTACAGACCGAGGTAAGGCAGAGATAGGGGGTTTGTTTTGTTTTGTTTTATTGTTGCTGTTTTGTTTGAGGGGTACTGATACAGTGTTTTGGCAAATATGAAGTAGCCAAGGTTATGAAGGATGGAGAAGCAATGAGGCTGCCCACCTAGTCTGGCCTTTTTCTCACATGTCCAGCTGTCAGAAAGGAAGCCTGAGAAACCCAACTACTGGGTCTGTGAGCAGCAAATCTATGGCTAACAGTCATGTGTACCTGTGCCCAGAGTCATACTGTGGTTAGACAAGAAAGAGGGTATGAATGGGTGAGCGAATGCACAAATGAATCTTGAATTAAGAAAGCTGGAACAAACGAAGCTACTTGGCACCAGGTTATCCACAGCTAAAAATATAACTAGATTAGGACTGAGAACGACTTGCAGAAGCTTTGAAAACCTGGAATCTTATGTTGTTCTCAGTGTATGGTTTTTATCTGTCACTTGCAGGCAATGAGGACTCATATTCAGAGATTCCCAAAAGCAGAACATCCAGGGAGATACACCTTTCTCACACAAATCAAAATCCTGTGAAAAGCCTCATAAGGAGCAAAGCAGAGAGGCCTGGGGAAGGAATGTATCTGCGCGTTTCCCCTCTGATGAAGGATGCACCTGTGGACTCTGATCTGCGGGAGAAGCAGACACTGTGGCCAAGAGGGATCAGAAACACCTGGAATGTGCGGGCCACTGGCGAAGAGGATAATGACAATGCCCCAGACCTTGCCCTGGCTGTCTGTCTCTCAGTGTTCATCACATTTATCTTAGCTTTCTGCTTGGGGTTTTTCATCAGGCCCTATATTGACAGACTGTGGACACAAAGATGCACTAAAAGTCCTAGCTCCAACAACACCTACTCAAATGAGGGATTCTATGATGAAATTGAAGCTTCAAGCAGCACACAGCACCCAAGGAAAGATCTGCACCCAGCTTTCCATCAGAACCTCTATAAGAATCAGAACCCTTCCCAGGTGACACTGCCAACCTCACACACTACTATCATTCCTGATGGGATTCTGGGAAATGGCAGAAAAGACCCTGGAAGATGGCAGAGCGCAGAACAATGTGGGAACAAGGCAGGAAGTAGAAATGTCAGTATGCTTCCAAATGGCCAGGCAGACCTTTCCCCTCTCTGCAGGCATCCAAAGATTGATCATCACCAACTGATTTCCTCAGCACAGGATCACATTTATAGGAATGATATGATCTGGGAATCAGATTATGACACTGTGGCCCAGGAATATTCTCCTCCTGGGCATTCAGTGAGTGTATCTCCCATGGCTGGCACATTTGGAACTGTCTCTGGCACAATCCATCACAACTTAAAAGAATTAGACCTATCACACCTAAGAAAAGTAGCAGATTCTCCCTCCAGAATAGAAACAAATGCAAGGACACAGGGATCTGGAGAGAGTAAAAGAAGGTGTCTTGAACAGCTGTCTGTGGAGACCACTGGCCCACACATGGAATGTTCTAAGGAAATACAGGTGAACAATTTTATCAGCTTGCCTTACACACAGCATCCAGGACTCCTTGGGGCCAACAATGAGAAAGAACTCCCAGACTTCTGCAGTGCAGATATATACAGTGTCCCAGAAAATGGAGAACCATCCACCCTTCTGCCAAGATGGCGCAGTGGCCTGCAGGACATTCCTGCTCCTGATGAGCCAGTGCAAAAAGATGTCCCTTTTGGCCTTCAGTATGGCTTGGAATCTGACTACGATTCAGATGAAGGGTCTTTGTTTACTCTCAGTTCAGAGGGCTCAGAGGATACAAGGAGTGTGACTAAAGAAGAGGCACATGGTGAGGGCAGTGGTGGGGCCGGCCAGCCTCTGCAGATCGAGGACTCAGAGGAACACAAGGACAATGTGACTTCAGTGGAACATCCCGAAGACAACATCACCTTCCAAAAGATTCTGGAGAAGTATGAAACGGAGGAAGACCGCTTTGGAAAGCCTCCGATTTCTAGGGCAGACTCTGGTTTGTGTGAAACACATCTGCAAAGTGCCTCTAACATCAGTGTATCTGAGGATGCATTGATCTGGCCCAGGACACTGGACAACCCACCTCTAAGTGATGAGACTGCTGTGTTTGTTTGTGATTATGACAGAGTTCTTCAGCCTGGAGCAGTGGAATGGCAATGCTCACTTAGAGACCTGCAGTTTTCAAATGTGGACAGTTTACCACCGACACCACCACCTTCTACTGATGATCTCAAGGAGCCTGCTATGGAAAGGACTTAAGACATTTCAAGGAACAGACAAAAGATACTCCTTCAAGGTCAGAGCAGGAGAAGACTTTAAGACCTCCACAGCAAGATTCTCAAGGGAGTGACCTAGGTCCCAACCAGATAGACACTGATATAAATGAGGTGTCTATATGTTCACCAGAGGACTATGATTCTAGAAAGTGTTACAGTCTCTGGTGATGAGCAAGCCCTCGGTAAAAAAGGGACAATATTTTGAAGATAGTTTTGAGAACTAAATGCTATTATTATTATAAGAGTTTCCAGATAAACACAGTTCATTAAGAACACAGAACAATTCCAGCCAAATAGAGCAGGTTGAATATTCAGGGGGAGAATCTGTTACAAGTAGAAAGAAAAGGATTCTAACTTTCATGCTCAAACACAGATCCAGAGATGGGATGGGAGATGAATGCAAGTGTCTGTTAAGAGCAACTCCACTGTGACAAAAGACAGGGACATTCAACTTGAGAACCAAAGAACGTCTTGGTAATCATTGGAGCACTTATTTGTGAATGCTGAACAGAAACAAATTCTTCGCGAAGATTACAATGTTTTGGGAGATCAATTATGACACTACAAAATTAAGATCAATTCTAAGTATTTTTAATAATTTATGTTAAAAGAGTGGCCAGTTTCTAGAACAAAATGTAGATTAAAAAATCAGCCTTCAAGAGAAGAAATGATGCTTTCTGTAAAAGATAAGGATTTTCTGCCATTAGCCTAAAACAAGCTCTTTTTTGGTATAACTTTCAAGTATGGCCTCTCATGAACTGTTCTGCTTATCTTTTACCTTTTCTGACATTTTCTTCTTTTCCTTTCCCAACTCTCCTTCTGTGTATGTTCACATAAAGACAGTCTCCTCAAGAGTTTCTCTCCAGTCTTTCTTTACAACCACTTTGTCGGCACTGAGAATGGCAAGGAAATAATACTGCCAACAATGTTCTAACAAATATGGGCCCTGCTGCTTCTACAGCCATACAGATGGCCCAACCTCCCTCCCAAGTTCCAGATTCAAATCCTTAGCTCTAGTCACCCAAATACACATAGGTCATTCATCTTCTTTTTCCCCTGTCCCTTTCTTGGTCAATACTATTAAGACATTTATCCAAGAAAGTTGGTTATAAGTTCTAACTGTGTTCTGATTCCTTCTCTTTCATTTCCTACCTCTGAGACAGAATCCTCTGAGCACAGTGCAATGGGAGTTCCTAGATGCCTATTCAGAGAAATAAGCACAAAGGTAGGGATAGGAGCTGGCCAAACTTTGTCAGATCAGAGTTTGAGTAGAAAATAAAGTGATAGAATCTGGAGAAAGAATCTGTCAGTCTGCCTCATTGCATCATTAGTCCTAAGGGATCTAGCTCCTCTGTAACCCTTAACTTGGTATACCAGTTCTCAATCCTCAAATAAGGCACACCTCTTGTCTAGTGCCTAGATTATTATGATCTTTAATACTTTTCTTCACCTCATATAAGGTAAATTCATCACTCACTGTAATTCGTCACTCACAATAACTGTATCCCAGCCTTCACTTGGTTCAACATCTGCCCCAAATGCTCTTGCCAAACAGCCCTTCAATTAACTGACTAACTCCTACTAAGACCTCAGCTTCATTGTCACTTTTGGACAAGTGGAAATTTTGGAGCCTAGACTAAGTTCAATATTCTTAGTACAAACTCTCATTGCATAGCCTTACTCTTCACATAGGAGAGTTCATCTTGAGTTCAGTTAGCATTTGTGTAGTTATTAGCTTAGTGTTTGGCCCTTCTCTACTGAGAGCTCCATGAATCAATATATCTCTTCCCTAAAGGCCTGGTATTTAATAGGTTCTTAACACATGCATTTGTTGAATAAATAGTGAAAGCACAAACTCTTTAGTGTGGGACAAAGAGTCCATAACTGGACCCTGATCTCATTTCATTATATCCTGCCCTTCTTTCACATGCAAAATTCAAACCAGCTATACCTTACACGGGCCTATGTCATTCCACTGTGCCTTGGCCCATACTGTTGTCTACTTTCTGTATTTCACATCTGTATAAGCTCCTCTGTAAACCTTTCTTCCTTCATTCCACCCATGTAGAATTGCTCACTTATTTCTTTAGACCTCCACTGGACCATGTGTGTATAGTGGAAGAGATGAGGCTTCCTATAGCTTGACAGACCTACTAGTCTCCTGTCAGTCAACTTCTGGCAGCTGGGTAGAATTCAGTTCCAACATGGAGTCTATGAAGATGCTCCTGTAAGAGCTAAAAGTTCTTAAGAAGAAAAGCAGTTTCTCCAGCTGCACAGAGAAAGAAGTTTATAAAGCTTTGACTATTTTATTTGCTTGTTCTTATTCAGACTTTCAAACAAAACAAACTTCCGATAATGTGGCATAAATGTCACGATGACAGCAGGTAAGCAATCCTATTACTTTTTTTTTTTGTTAAAACACATTTTTATACCCCCTCTGAATATGCATACTATTGGCTTGGTGATGGTTGTTTGATATGGATGAGATCTGAGTCCAGGTTTTCAAAATATCTTACCTTGAGTCCCTCCCAAATTGTCCTAAACAGTAAGCTAGCTGAGTTCTAGTAAGCCTCTTTTCTTCGGCTTTCCCTCTGTTTTACTTGCACCTATGCTGATTAGGTTTCAAATTCTGCTATTACATAAATGACCTGTAACATGTGTCTTTTTCTTTCGATAACCTGTTTCTATGTATCTTTAAATACACACTACCATTTGAATTTGGGGCCTCAGGAGCCTGCTAATTTGTAAGGAGTCAGGTGGATCTCATTTTTTGGTTGTCTGGAAATCTCATGCTCCCGAGAACTTGAGAAAAAGGCTTCTGACTAGCTGAATCTAGATGTTGCACAAACTATGTCTAGTTTAATTTTATTTTTCAAACTTCTGTCCTAATATTTCACTCACATTCTGAAAATTCTAGAGGTTATGGAAAAATCAAAGTGTTACTGCATTTCAAGGCTTTTCAAGCTCTTAATATTTTATCATATAATGAGTAGATCTCAGATACCATAATAGACAAAGACATCCCAAACCTAAGCGTGCAATCTTTTTAGCCTTTGGCACATATGTTTTTCATCTGCCTCTGTATGTTGTGTGTGTGTGTGTGTGTGTGTGTGTGTGTGTGTGTGTGTGTGTGTATGTGTGTCTGTATCTGTGTGTATCTATAATCTTGAATCTATTCATAGGGTTAAACATGAATAACATCTTTGTTCATTTGAATAAATACAACCCACATATAACACTTGTATTTGGAAAGAAAATTCTCATTGTTTTCATTGGATATCATTCCTGACTCTGGCTTTTCACGACTCAACGTAAGATTTTTGTTTTATTTTTAGATGCTCAAATCATTACAGCTGGATGAATACCATCTCCCCTAAGCTAGTTTTGGTCTTTTTCCAGAATTTCTAAAGCATTATTTTTTTTTTAGCAATAAACATTCAAAGACAGACCAGAATATTACCTCCAAAATAGAAATTAGCCTACTTTAAGGAGCCCTGCTCTCAGTTAGTGGAGAATATATAGTTCAGCCTTTGCTACTGTAATAAGAAATTTGTGTTACTAAAAAGCCTCCTGGTCCTAAATCATACTTTAGAAGCCAAAAGGCTTGTGGGACAAATAGAGTTGAGGAGACCACCAAAACAGTATGCTACCTTGTCACCAGAACATTAAGAAACTATCCTGGATGACCCATCAGGCATGGCTAGGGACTACAATCTTAGAGAGTGAAAATTCACATAAACCAAGGAAAATGGCGGCCCCATGACTGGGACTTAGCCTTGGGCTCCACAGTGGTCTTCTCCTGGTGTTTCTGTTGATGTGGGGAATAGTAGCACCCGAGAAACCCACCTTTGTACAGGTGACCCTGTCTTCCATAGACAGCTGTGAGTGAGGAGAGAGTGAGGAGACTGTGAAGGAAGAACACGGAAAGCCAATGATTGCATCTATTCTGGAATGCCTTTTCAAGAATGGTTGGATGGCATGCCTGTCTCCCTACAGAACAAAGAGCAGACCATGCTTGACTATGAGTAATCACAGAAAGCAAAACCCTGCAAAAAAGATAAGTGTACATGGACTAAAGACTAGAAACCAGGATGGGATCATGGGTGTCAGCAAGACAGGCCACAGCAAGCTGATGCCTTGCAGACTCCTTCGCAGAAGAACAAGTTACCTGCAGCAACAGATGCCACACCTGGATCCTGACTGCTCCCTCACTATGAAAGCAGGTAGTGTCTTGCAGTTGGTTTTAGCCCTGTGCTTGCCACAGTCCCAGCCTGAACTATCTTCTTTTCACCATCAGCTTCAAACGTCAGGGCCTTCTCCACCTTCTTTTTCTGTCATTCCCTCCAGATCCAGAGGAACCCTACACTGTCCCCTCCTGCCTCCCACAATGCCTTTCCTGTGTTTTTCCCTCAGGCTTACCTGGGCTTGCACTGTAGCTGGCAGCAAGGGATCTCCACAGCCATTGGGGCTTGACAACAAAATTAGCCTTGAAATGTCTTGTTTTCTTTCCCTTTTTTTCTTTTTTAAGAAAAAGAAAATATGCCTCCATCAGAAAGAATGATACCACCCCATTTGTTAGGAAATGGAAAGACTTGGAAAAAATTATATTAAGTGAAGTAAGCCAGGCCCAAAGAAACATAGGTCTCATGGTTTCCCTTATCTGCAATAACTAGTATATGTCTAGGACAAGCAGAAAAGGTCAAAGGCTATGTACATATGACCAGATAAGATGATGCTAAGTGAGATGAATCCCAAGACAGGGACATAAGAGGTTTTATCTTCATTGCTGTTGTTTTTTCATGTACTTATAATGTATCATGTGATTTTTTTTGTTTCTTTTGTATGTTCTTCCCCCATGGTATAACCCCTGTTTTCACTGTATTTGATTCTGGTGCCCTGTATCTTGTATATACATTTTTCTAATTTGGGGAAGGGAAGGGAAATAACAAAATGTTGAAACAAGGATACAGGTTGACCCATTGAAACAATGAGATGTATAAGACACTATGTTGAAAACAAACTTTACAACTTGGGGGTGGGGAGGAGTTGGGGAGGTGGGAAGGGAAGAGATGGTAAGGGAAAAACAAAGAAGGGGATAACAATGCTCAATAGGAAATGTACTCATTACCTTACTCATGTAACTGTAACCCCTCTGTACAGTATCTTTACAATCAAAAATATTTTAAAAGAACTGTAATAAAAAGAAAATAAGAAAAAGAAAGATGCCCCCTGTTCAAGACAACCTCAACCCACCGGGCTGTGCCCCTTTTAATCTAAGCCCTTCCCCCTTTAGCACTCCCAGACTCTACTTGTGTGTCTCACAAGGAAAGATTGGGTAAAAAGATGTTGAAGAAGAGAAATCCTCCTCGAAAACCTTCCCAGTTTTCTGAGGGAGAAGATCAGCAGAGAGCCACTGTGACAAGCTCTCATTATGGCCTCCACATTCAGCAAATAAAAATCCAGGAAGCCCAGTAAAGTTTGCATTTCAGATAAGCGATAAATACTTTAATATTTAAGTCTGCCTGTGCAATATTTGGGAGTTCTATATATACCAAAATACTGCTCTGGATTTCAGCTTCAGGTGGGTGGCCTGTATTTTATCTGGCAACCTTATTTTAATATCCAAATAAAATACAGCTTAAAAAAATCTTCCATGCAATATACAGAACGAATCTGCAGTTCCAGCAAGGGCAGGAAAGCGAATGTTACTGAGTAACGTTTGCTGCAGCAGAGCCGTGATTAACTGCTATATGTTCTGCAGGAAGCAGAAGCATTCAGCACAGACCACCCATGCCTGCAGAAGGGCCTCGTCAAAGCCTGAGCAGTGATTTACAAAACAGTAAAAATGGAAATTCACTCACACATAGCCAGGAGGAGAAATCCCAGAACATCAAGTCCTGCCTGCAGTTACCAAGGAAATAAATAAAATGAGGCAAAACAAAATACCTGCAAAAAAGTATTTTCTTACCCCAAACCACAGGGCTCCTCAGGGAGAAAAGATGAGGTAAAAGCTGTGAAAATGGAGACCTTTCTGTGCTCCATGCTAGTTCTGGCTCTTCCCCACGTTCCTCCTCCCCATGGACTTTGCCATTTCAGAAAGTATCAGCTTTTGACTTTGGAAAACTCAGCAGCCTGGAAAGAATTCTCTTCATTTTAACTCCACAGCACAGTTAAAAGCCCATGAGCCTCACTCCAGCTTGCTAAATTGTTTACACACATGCACGGAAATTCTCTTGTATTTGCCATGCAATTCCACTGAACATCTCTAACATACAGAATGAGACTAGGCTGTGAGGAAAGCTGGACATGGGGGCTGGCGGAAAGCAGTCCTGTCCTCAGAAAGCTTAGAGCCTTCCTCCCAGCGAGACGAGGTTGAAAGAGGAGAAGAACGAGAGGCCAGAAAGGTAGGAAGCATGCATGCTAGACTTCGGTCTATATTTTAATGTAAACTATGAATTTCTGCAGAAGGAACACCACTGTATTATTTAGGCCACACATCTAAATAAGAGATGGTAAATTGCTTGTGAAAATATAATGGGCTACTACCCTTCATGACTCAGTAAAGGAAAAGCCAATTTGCAAATTCATGAACAATACTCTATTTACATTTAGTGATGAAATCCCAACCATTTAGGACAATCTAAATCAACAGATGGAAGCATATGGAAATTTTATCTGTGAGTATGTAATGTTATAAAATGCAAAGTGAGCAATGTTCAACACAAGGGAAGAAATGCAAATGTACATATATTGGTACAGGAATTAAATTACCCTTACAGGAAATATTTCTTTTTAAAAAGCCTAATACTGACCCACCAGAGAATGCAATTTTCGGGGACAAGCACGCT